CAAGGTCAGCTGCTGCCTGTGCCCAGCCCGAGGCCACTTGATATGAGCTACAAAGTGATCTGCAGATGGTTGCTGCTTGCACTGGGCTTGGAGGTGCCTGAGAGGGGCTAAGCTGCAAACTGAGGCTGGCTGCCACTAGTGTTGGGCCTGCGGTTGCTTAACAAGAGGTATGGGGCATGCCAAGGCCAGATGCTTCTTGTTTGGTGTTTGTGGACCTTTGAGAGATTTTAGGTCCTGCTGGTGTGGCTCAGTGGTTGAGCGTTGACCCATGCACCAAGAGGTTGCCAGTTCGATTCCTGGTCAGGACATATGCCCAGGTCGTGGGCCCGATCCCCAGTGGGGTCATGCAGGAGGCAGCCAATCGATGTTCTCTCTCATTGATGTTTCTATCTCTCTCTCCCTTTCCCTTTCTCTCTCTCTAAAGTCAATAAAGAAAAAATATATAAAAAAAGAGAGAGACATTTTAGGAAAGTCAGCAATGTGAACTTAGACAGGCTGTTTGAATGGAAAAGCTGCTGAGAGAGGCTTGGGTGGGCCTGCAGAGTGGGTGGTACGTGGTCTCGGAGTCACCAGCGTGGGTTGAGTTAACACCCAGGTTGATGGAAGCTCAGACTTGATGCCTGTCTGTTCCTTCAGGCTGTGTTGGGGGGGGGGGGGCTCAGCAAAGGGACAATGGCACCTGCCAGCTGCCCCTTGAGCCCTAGCCCTGAAGCCAGACAATTCAGTTCCTCCCCACTCCTCCCTGGTGTTCTCTGAGCTGCGGCCCCAGCGAGTGAGTTTGAATGAGTCCGTGCCTGGGCCTTTAAGACCTGTAGGGCCTGGGACTCCAGCTGCCCTGTCTCACTCAGTTGCAATTCTCATGTCTTTCACAGCCAGGAGTTATGGTGACTTCTCTTCCCAGCACTGGAAGCCTGGGCTGGGGAGACTGGCGTGGAGCAGGAACCCCTCGCTCCTCAGGGGGGACCTCAGCACTGAGCTACCCTCCTGATTCTGTGTCGCCACATGTGGGTGTGGGAACCTCTTCTGTGTGACCTCCCTCCCCACCTTTCTCAGCACGGCCTGTTCTTTATATCCTTGGTGCAGGACTTCTGTTCCACTAGATTTCAGGTGGTTCTCAGTGATGGTTGTTCTGTAATTAGTTGTGACTTGAAAGTGGTCATAGGAGGAGGCGAGCACAGTACTGACCTACTCCGCCCTCTTGACCAGAACTCCCATCCAGTAAAAGTTTTATTTCAGACACTGTACTATTCAGTTCTAAAAATGGTATTAGGTTCTTGTGGTCATTTTATGCTGTGCCCAATGAACTAAGCTGGAGTTCCATTTCCAGATTCACTTTCCTGTGCTGTTCCAAGCGGGGCTGGCCAAAGGCAAGTCTGCGTGAGATGTTAAAGGCAGACGTGAAGCAGCAACCCTTTCTCACGCCGAAGGTGAGGATCAGGCACTCGGAGCTGCTCTGGCCGTTGGCCTGGACAAGCAGCCACACGCGAAGCTTCCTCAGAGACCACTGCGCCCCCTGCCACTTCCCTGAGCCCCGAGCCCTGTGGGTGTGCAGCTCCTGCCGCAGGTCACTAACCTCACTGTGCTTGTAGGCAGTGAGAGATGAATTTGGGTTTCAGTTTTCTCTCATAGGTTCCTGTTTTTCCTCATGGGTTTCTGTCTGTTCTTGCCTTCCCCAAACATCTTCCAGCTCTCCTTCCCAACTGCTGTCCCACGATGACCTCAAGGTCACCCCGAGAGCGGAGGTAGCCTTCTGCAGACTTCTTCTCCAGCTCGCGCAAAGGTCTAAGCCTAGAATAAAGCTCTAGATTCATAGCACTTGTAGTGGGTCTGCTTCTTTAATCAAATTCTAATCATGTCTCTGCTGAGATTCTCTATCCATTCACTCATTATGACCATCATTTTTTAAAATTCCTTTTCTAAATGTGTCATATCTGCTTCAAATTTATCATATCGAAATCCTTCTTCTAATTCCAGCAGCGGGATCATCTCTGGATCAGTTTTAAGACTGCCTCTTCTCTGAACTGGGAGTCATCACATTTTCCTGTTTCTCCACACGTGTAATACTTTTTATTGTCTACGGGCTGTTGTAAAGAACAGGTTGTAGACACACCGTCTTCCTCTGTCCCTCCCCCACTACTGAATCTTTGTTCTAAACTATCAAACGCCATGAAAATGATGAAAAAAAAAAGGGGGGGTCGTGGATCAGATGCTCAAGGATACTCTGTTTTTCCAATTTGGACTTTGAAACATGTCCCAGGACATCTGACCAGGATGCCATTGGTGGGTTAGAATTACGGCACATGTCATTGGCCCGCAGTTTAGGACAGACAGCCTCTATCAAGGCGGCAAGTGGGAGGCCTGCAGGCCAAACCTGGATTCCTTACAAGTTTGATACGCTAAATACTGGCCCAGACTGTGTTTCTAACATCTTTGGAAGTGATGCTCGCATTGAGAGCATGTATTCCCAGCTGTCTCCTTTAGAGGGCGTGTGTGGCGCTCCAGGTCGCCTCCGCGGCCAGCAGCCCGAGGCCCAGGCTTGTCACTTCTCTCACTCACATTTCTGAACGTGGCCTATCTGGCCCCAGAGATTTCTGAGCTTGTGAGTCCCGCTCTAAGTCATGCTGGGGTTGCTACTATTGTCCTTGGTCATGTCACCATAGTTCCCCCTCTGGGGCTCGGGAGATTTAGAAAGGTCTGGATAATCCGTGGGAAGTAGGGATGCGTGCAACCCCCCTGGGGGAAAACAACCAGAGTTACCAGCCGCCAGGAGGATGGCTTAGGGAAGAGACTCCCCAGGTGCTTGAAGAAAGCTTCCCTCGGCCCGGCCCGGAGAGGGCTGCACGGAGGGACCAGCTCATCCGGGGACATGCGCCACGGAGCCGAGAGAGGGCTGGCGTGGACTGGCAGCAAGACAACCACGAGGCTGCCCGGGAGTGTGGAGAGGAGAGGACCCGCAGGAGAGACGGAGCAGTTGCGGTGGACCGAATGGAGCGGCATCGTCGCAGGCCGGAGCAGTGACCGGCTGGACTCCACCATGGTGTCTGCACCAGCAACACGCCCTCCACGCGCAGTGCGGGCGCCGCCGCTTCGGGCGCGAGAGGGCAGAGTGAAGAGGCTGAGCTTTGATATGATGGGCACAGGGAGAGAAGACAATGAATTGTAAAGGTAGAATAGAAATGCTGTTCTGAAGAGACTCTTGAGAAATCTTTAAGGCGGAAGAATGAGCTGAGCATTCAGGGCCGGTCCTACAGAAAGGCCTTATTCAGCGTCCGGAGTGTGGGTCTTCCAGACCCGGGGCAAGTTTTTAACCTCTGAATTTCCTCATCTGTAACATGGGGATAGGACAGTACCTACTTCCTAAGGCTGTGAGTGTTAAGTGAACACTTATGAAGTGCTTAGTCCAGTTTCTAATAAATCTTAGCTGCCATTATTATTATTATGAATAGTAGCAGTAGGAAGGCATGAACACATGTGTGTTATGAAATGCCATCATGGTTGTGACCATGATCATCATCACCCTACTTTTTTATGTCTAAGGACCCATGTGTCAAGAAGCCTTTGTTAAACTGCAGATTTAACTTGGATGATTTATTAGCAGCAATGAACCTGTTCGGAAGGGGCGGGCTGAGGTTTCGGGACAAGCTCAGCCTGCCGGGATCTGGTTAGGACCCTCCCTGGTGGCCTTGAGAAGTGTGAGGGCAGCAGGGGAGGAAAGGGTGGTGGGCAGGCCACACCCACTTCACAGACGGGTCTGAATTCCATACGGTGTAGTCACACACAGATACATCTTAAAGTTGCTGTATGCCAGGGCATGTTAGAGTTTTCACTGGAGCATAAAAACAAGTCCTACCTGCCCTGGCCGGTTTGGCTCAGCAGTAAGAGCATCGGCCTGTGGATCAGAGAGCCCTGGGTTCGGTTCCTGCTAGGGGCACGTACCAAAAAAACAAAAAACAAAGCAAGTCCTACCTTAAATGCTCTGGCAGGGCTGGGCTGGGTGAGTGCTCCCTGGTGCATGTGGGTGACAGTCTGGTTGGAATCAAGGTGAGGCTCATGTGAGAAACCTTTGTTTTTTTGGATCAGGAGAAGCAGCTGGTGCACTAGATGGTCTCACATCACGGTACTGCCCAGTCTGCCTAAAGGAGGCCCTTCTCAGCCCAGAACATATAAACAGAAGGCAGTTGCTGCGGAAATCAGATATTGGTCCCAGCGACAATCGGTCTGTGCAGCTCAAAGGAATACAATGAGTTGCTTTCCCTTCCCAGTGCTTTCTTGTTTGGCTTCCATGGAGGTCTGTGTTTGTAGAAGTACTTGGGTCTAATTGTTGCAGACAGATGCCTGTGTTCTTTTAGCTGAGACAGATGGGCAACAGGAGGAGGAGGTGGGGGTGGCTGTGAGGGAGGAGGTGACATTTGTAAATATGTCAAGGGACAATGAAAATTCACCGAAAATGCATTGGAACCTTTTAAATGAGAAGGTGAAATGATCTTTCATAAATGATGTGTGGGTCTGTGAGGACAGCCATGGTGTCAGTGAGGGTATCGATTCTGGAGCCTCTGTATTTACATGGATACAAATCAGCTAGAAAGAATAGCAATTATTTTTAACCTCTTCCCATGTAACATGTTTTACAAGAGCTGCTAACAATTTGCAAAATTAACTGTCACTTTTCTCCTTTCCACCATAAACAACAAAAGGGCCAAGCAGCAGGCAGCGCAAGGAAGAAGAAGAGTTGTAAAAACTTGGGCTGACCAATTGCCTCACTCAGTAGCCGCCAAAGAACCCAGCATTGATGTGAGCGACAGTCCCTTGGCCAGGTGCTTCTCTGGGGCCGACACACACGTGGATATGCTCTCTAATCAAGCCCTCTAGGCTATAGCTAGCTTTCAAGTCTTAAGCTCTAATTTATCTACATCCCAAGTTTTTTGTCACCACCCCAAAACTCAAGTAACGGCCGCGCTGCCTCCTGGGACCAGAGCCTCGTGCTCTCTCGGGCACCTTACCCCTGTGTCCAGCGGCACCTTCACATCCATCGAGAGAGAACCCGTTTCCCCGTTGATCATGGCTGTTCTCAGCTTCAAGAGGAAAGAGAATGGAGTTAGTTCCTTGGCTCACACTGCAGTGTGGAGCTTTACGGACCAGATTGGAGGTGACCCCTGGGAACACTTCTGGTTCTTCCCCTTTTTCCTCTCAGCGAATACTGAGGGGGTGGAGGCCAGATTCTAGGTTCCATTTAGCTTATACTCTGGAAACTCAGGGAGATAATGTTCCAAAGTGGGCTGATACACGAACGTAGTGTCACATCACTGAGACATAATTTCCTCCGGGATGAGCTACACTAAAAGCCAGACTGAAACATCACTAGAACTGCAACTCTGTAGCTCACAGACAGGAGCTCATGGGTCTCAGGAATCCTGATTCAGGAAGATACTGATATATTTTTAGAGCTGTTTAAAGAATTGCCCATTCTAGGAATTGTTTCTGGTTTGGTCTCGGAAAGGGTCCACTGAGAGGTGCAGAGCGACATCAGAGCTTCTAGCCGTGCAGCTGGCTTGTGTATCGGTCAGAGTTAAACAGCTCCTCCTGCTCCCACTTTTCCCACTCACGATTTCAGCTCGGTCCTCCCACTCCACTTCAGAGAGATCCACACTGTTGTAGTTAGGTTTGGGTTTCAGTTTCTTCCCCTCTCTGTACTGGAGTGGGCAGGTCAGAAAGAAAAACATGAGGTTAACGTAAGGCTCTGCCCAAGTTTAATCTCTTCTATAAAAGCCTTATGGGTACATTTAGATCAAAGAATCTCAGTGACGCCTAGCCGGCGTGGCTCAGTGGTTGAGCCTCGACCCGTGCACCAGCAGGTTGCTGGTTCGATTCCCGGTCAGGGCACATGCCCGGGTTGTGGGCCTGATCCCCGGTGGGGGGCATGCAGGAGGTGGCCAATCAATGTTCTCTCTCATCAATGTTTCTATCTCTCTCTCCCTCTCCCTTCCTCTCTCTAAAAATCAATAAAGAAAAAATAAATAAATAAAAGGTGAAACTTAAAAAAAAAAAAAAAAAAGAATCTCAGGAACTCCTTAAAGCTTTCTGGGCCAACTTTAACCCAATGCAGAGCTTCCCTGTCAACATTTGTGACAGAGGGTCCCCTGGCCTCTGGGTGAATATTCCCCACGGGGGAGCTCCCCAATTTTGAGTGTGCTTGTCCTAGTTTTGGACAGCTCTGATTGTTAGAAAGTTCTTCCTTACACGGAGATGAAACCTGCCTCCCTGTAACTTTCACCCGCTGGTCTTCATTCCTCCCCGGGAGCTACACAGACTGTCTTCCCTTTGACAACCCTTGAGATTTCTGAAGGTGCTTGTCATCCTAAGACTTCACTTCTCCAGGCTAAACGTTCCTAATGTGCAAATGCCTCAACTCCGTGTGACTATGCTCTGCTTCCGTCAGTGTCACTTCCAAAACGGAGGGCCCAGGATAAAAGTCAATATTTCAGACAGGGTCTGACAGTGCGGTGCGTGGCCGGAATATCACACTGCTCCGACCGCTGCCTCGGATTCTGCTGGACTTCCGGGTCAGCCACGCCACCCTGACAGCACAAGGCGAGCTTCCAGCCTGGGGATCCCGGGCCCTCTTCATGGAGACACTGTTGCATTACATCTCCACAATCTTATGCTTGAGCAGTGAGCCTTTTGCAGAAATGTCCATGCATCTTGTTTGTTTCAGCCCAGTGTTTTGGGAAAAATACTTTCTGAATACTAATTTTCTCACTTAATGTATTAGCCACACCTTCCAGACTTTGTGGCATCTGCCTTCTGTGTTTTTCTCTTGTTGGTAGAATTTTGAGTGGCACAGAGCCAAGGACAGACAGATTCTGCAGTGCCCAATAGAAGACCTCTTTCCAGCTTGACATAGAGCCATTAATCAACACTCCTTGAATGCTGTTATTATTTCCTGGCCATGACATCTCTCTCTTTCTCTCCAAGAAGTTATCTGCTATTAGGTCTGCACCGCTTCCCAGGGTTAATTTACTAATAGATCTAATAAAGAAAGAGAATAGACTTCCAGTCAAGACGGTGGCATAGGTAAATGCAAGACTCACCTCCTCCCACAACCACATCAAAATTACAACTAAACTACAGAACAACTATCAATCAAAACCACCTAAAATCTAGCTGGATAGAAGTTCTACAACTAGAGATTTAAAGAAGAAGCCGCATGGAGACTGGTGGGGGGGGTGGGGGTGGAATGCAGAACTGGCTGGTCCCACGCCTGTGTGTGGTGGATAAACATCAAGAGGGAGATTTTGACTGTGGAGGTCCCCTGAGGAGCCAGGGGTCCCAGCTCCACACAGGTGCCCGAGCTCAGGGTTCTAGCACTGGAAAGAGAAGTCTCCATAACTCGGCTGTAAAAACCAGCTATAATTGAGGCTGCTGGAGTCCCAAGCATTACTCTTTTTTTAAAAAAATTCTCTCCTGAGGATATTTTTCCATTTGTCTTCAGACAGAGTAGGAGGGGGAGGGGAAGAGAGAGAGAGAGAAAGAGAAAGAAAGAGAGAGAAAGTGAGAGAGAAACATCATTGTGAGAGAGACACATTATCAACTGGTTGCCTCCCTCAAGACCCTGATCAGGGCTGGGGACCGAACTGCAACTAAGGTACATGCCCTTGACTGGAATCAAACCTGAGACCCTTTGGTTAGCAGGCCGAGGCTCTAACCACTTGGAAAACCAGCCAGGGTCCAAGTATTCTTAAAGGGCCGGCACATGAACTTATTGGACTCACCCTCTCTGAGCCCCAGTGCCGAGACAGCAGCCTAAAAGGCACCAAGGACATACAGGGAAGAATGGAATCATCTGGCAACAGGTCAAAAGCTGGGGGCAGCTTTCTCCCAGATAGAAGTGCTGGCAGAGACCACTGTTCCTTTGATGAGCCCTCCCCGCAAAGAACCAGCAGGCAGGTGCCACCTCTGAGTCTCCATCAACCTGGTGCTTCCCTGAGACACTCCCCACCACACTTTCAGGCCCACCCAAGCTGTTTCCGGAGGCTTTTCCATACAAGCGGCCTGTCTTGTCTCATGCTGCAGACTTTCCTAAACTCTCTCAGACAAGGAGCGTTTGGCCTCAGCGTGCCCCATACCTCTTGCTAAGTGGTCCCAGAACCAGTATGTGGTACCCAGCTTGGCCTCTCTTGAGCACCTCCAAGCCCAGCACAGGTAGCAGCCATCTGCAAATCAAGCTTGGTGGCCCTAAGCAGAACACAGGCAGTGGCTAACCTTGGCCTGCACCTCCTGGGAGGCCCCAGAGCCAGCACACCAGGTGGACAGTGTCAGACCACGTCAAAGCACTACCCAACCATTTCCACAGTGACACACTCAGTGGGCAGACCCGGAGGGCAACAGAGCCCTGCTGAAGTTAGTCCTGCTCCGGGAGGCGGATCCCTGCACAGCTGATCCTCCACGGTGGCTGTGGTCACAGACAGTCCTTGCTTTCAATCAGCCCAGTGGTAAATTCTTCCCAATGATGTGCCAACAGCAAATAGGGTTCAACTACAATAGGAGGGTGTAAACAGGCCATATGGGGGTACCTAGCTTGGGTGATCAAGGAGGCTGTGCCACTGGACCCTACAGGACACCTTCTACATTAAGCCACTTTACCAAGCCTGGAAGACGTAGCAGCTCTACCTAATACATAGAGACAAGCACAGGGAGGCTGCCTAAATGAGGCGACAAAGAAACACATCCCCAAATAAAAGAACAGAATAAAACTCCAGAAAGAAGAACTAAACCCAATGGAGACAAACAATCTACTGGATGCAGAGTTCAAAACACTGGTTTAAAGGATGCTCAATGAACTTAGTGGAAGAGTAGTTGAACTTATATGTATCTTGATTCTGCCAGGTTTTTTTTTTTTTCCCCAAGAAAGCCTAATCCTTCTTCCTTGCCTGTGCAGGAGATCTGTAGTAAAACCACCACAACAGTACCTCCCCTCTAACCTCCTCTTTCCGTCCTCACCCCTGCGTGGCGGATGCTCCGTTCTTGTCCTCCTGGATGTCCACACTCATGACAAACAGCACTGCCCTGCCGCCTTCAGCCGTGGACCTGCCTCTGACATGGCACATGCTTCATCCATTGCCATTTCATAGCACCCGGTGATGCCTGCGGGAGCACCTTTAGCTCCTTGTATTAGGACCAGAACTCCACTTGTTAGTTAGTCATACTTAGGTACTGACGCAGATTTCAGGCCAGACCTGAGACTTTGGATCCTCTTCCAATTTGTTAGTAGGCATAGCCTCTATTCTTTTTCTTTTTTAAACTCAACTGTTGTTCTCCTTTACCTATCATAAATCAATAGCGCTTTCCTTAGGGACAGGAAGTTGGCTTTACCATATCCTTTGTTATGTAACAATGTTCCACGTGGTACTGTTCTCTAAGTGTTTCATTTGTATAAGTCTATTTGTGTATAGTCTTTTCCCTTAATTAGACTATAAGCTTCTGTTTCTAGCATTCTCAGGGCATTGTAAGGTTAGGCATACAGTAGGTCTACAATATGAATTGATTGGTTAAAGTCTTATATTTGTCTAGATTAAATAGGTGGTAATAGATGCACTTTTGACCAATGCTCCGTCATTCTATGGGTTAGCTCTGGGATCAACCCATTCACTATTTCCCTAGTGAGTCACTTATTGACACAAAGGCTGCCCCATATAGAACCCACTGGTACCAGTCAGTGACCCATTATAAGTTCATATGCTTACCCAGCAGAGTCTGAATTGGGAAGACAGTGGTTTTCAATGTGCCCTAATCTCTCTGTACTCTGTACCCCTATAGTTTGCCTATGGACACTCAGTAACTATCTGAATCAAATGGAGAGTGTGTGGCTTAGACTGATCTCTCCAAATGGCACCTGGGCAGATGAGCCCCTTGGTACAGTCTCAGAAAGGTGCTCTGCTCGTTATTACCCTCGGCAGCCACCCCACTTCATATAAGACTGGCAGAGGGGAAGGGGCTAAGATTCCTCGAGGACTCCAACTCCCCTCCCTCAGTGCCCCCCACAATCACAATGAGAGTTGTGGCCACGATTGCCATGGACAGTGGCCAAGCGCCATGACCGGAAGTAAAGCAGTAGGGAGCCCCTAGCCCTGAGGCGGAACTTTTAGGTAAAATGATGGGAACTCCTCTCCTGGCCATCTGGTGTCCAGCTGGCACAGGTGAAAGGGCCCCGGCCCCTGCGGCAGGATGGAGGCACTAGGAAGGAGGCGGGAGCCCTCAGGAACACATCCCAAGACTAACTCAAGGAGCCTCGGCTCTCCAGCCCCCACCTCTCGCAAGACAGCTCTTCTGTCATTTTTTTTGTTAATTCAACATCCACAGCCTTGGGGGTCTCCTGGTGCTGCTGTCAGACTCCGAGAGGGGGCGCGGAGCTACCGAGGCGGTGACGGGAAGGTGAGCGGCCGTGTCCCGCGGGGAACCTGCACTCTTCACCTCTGCTCTCTGGACATCGCTTCGTTTGTGTGTCTTTGCCTGTCTCTTCTGCTCGATTATGAACAGTTCGACTTAAATTTTTTTTCTCACATTACTCTCTGGGTTCCTAGATGGAGCCCAGGGTGTGTTCACTGTTTTAACTGTTTTTATGAAGCACCCCAAATCCTACAGGGTCAGGATGCCAAGAGATACAAGATCTGTACCTACCAGGGGTCGGAGGTCAGGATGCGAGAGGATGTAGCCATTGTTAGTGTTCAGAAAGGCATACCCGTGCACCCCGAGCTACAAAGACAGGGCGGAGGGACATCAGAGCTGTTGGTGTTGGAGAACGCCAGCTGGGACGGGGTTTGCGGGGGACAGGTAGAGACGGCAGTGCACGGCGATGAGTTTTCACATAGGAATATAACTGAGCAGGGCTGTGCTCCCAGCCATTAATTTTAGATTCTTCTCCTAATTCTACTGTGTATAGCAGCCGTAGTAATGTATATCATTACCGGGCCTCTTTCCCACCATATGCTCTAGGTGCTTTGATGCTAATCTCACTCGTTCCCCAAGCAGGAAAGTATGGCATGGAGGAGCAGACGGAGAAACTGAGGCACCAGGGAGGGAAAGCACTTGCTAAAGGCCACAGGGCAAGTCAGATCTGCTGGCACCAAGGGCCCCAGGAGTCTCAGCCACGGTCCCCAAGCTCAGTGCCTGCACTGCTCCGGGGCAGGGGGCAGGGGGCAGGGGGCAGGGGGCAGGTCCCACCCCGCTCTGGGCGTGGCTGCACTGCCTGCAGAGGCTCCGGAGCCTGGTGGGGCAGCCCCTGGGGAGCCTGTGACCCCCACTCGCGGACCTGACCCAGGCTCACCTTGTACCGGGGTGCCAGCTTCATCAGCTCTCGCAGGGCCACGTCGGAGCCCACCACCCCCAGGAGAATGCCGTGGGACCGCTGGAAGGGAAAGCACCAGGGTCAGGGACATCTGGCTTCCCGGCGGCAGGGCCAGACTGGACCTCACCCTCCCGGAGCCCGGGAGGAAGCCCCGGGGCCTCGCGGTCCTTCCTCTGCACTTCGATTTTAGGCTGAGTTCCCTGGAATAAAACCAAGAACCCAGCAGAGAGGCCCCAGGAGTAATTTCAGCGGCGGGAAGATTAATGTCCAGCATTACTATTTCAGTGGTGATATTTAAGTGAAATGCAAAGTTGAATGACGTATTCGCCTTCACAGCAGGGGCTGAAGGATCGGGGTCCCGGGGACCCTAATTTACGCATGGCCTGCCACACAGTGCCTCTACGGAAACGTTTCCTGACCAGACAGACAATGGAAGGCTCTGGAAATGTTCTCACCAGAGGCCTTTCTGCCCAAACTGGCAGGTGAAGTGTGGTTTTGCCGGACGGCTGGCAGAACCCATTAGTCCGATAGCCCCCGGCAGTGGTCCCCAGGGCAGAGCAGCGGGGCAGGATCGCTGGGGAGTTTTGGGAAGTCCGGGCCAAACCCCAGCCCTCACCCACCCCCATCCCAAATAAGAGATTCTGATGGAGTTAGTTGGGCCCAGGGCCCTGCAACCCCGCTCTCCCAAGGTGGCACCAGAGATGCCAGAGGTGGCCCCGCTGCGGATCCCGGCCACTCACCGTTTCATTCTTTTTGCTGAACACGGGCATGGCCACGGTGGTGAGGAGCGTCAGGCTCTGTGCCCGCGAGGTGAAGAGCTGCCAGGGAGGGAAGGGCAAAGGACAGAGGGCTCAGAGAGCACAGTGCGGAGGACACTCAGTCATCAGTGTCAACTGGTGCGTCACCTTCCAACGGGAGAAAGCAATCCCACATGAGGGCTGCCTTCTCTGCCAAGGGAGAGCTGGCCGAAATGCTGGAGGGGAGAGGTGGGCTGGGGAGCAGGGCCAGGCCGACGTCACGTAGCCAGGGTGAGTCCCAGAATCCCGGAGCTCACTGCTGAGCACGCTCACTGAGCCCTCTTGTCTCGGATGAGTGTGAATCCACGAACAGGCCCATCCCGGGCATGCCCAGAAACAAAGAGGTTTAGCACAGCAAGAGTGCTCCCACAGATCTGTGCTCTAGACCCAAGGTAGTCGCATACTGCGGCCCAGGCCAGTTAGGAGGGAGAAGGACACACGCAGAGCCCCAGGCAAACACAAGCGCGTGGCGAGGGCCCACAGCAGGAGAGCAGGCCATGGTGCGGTTGTAGAAGCCTCTGGTCACCCCTGCGGGATGACCCCACAGCCTCTTCCCCACGCAGAATGCCGCATCATCCCAGCCTCTGAGATGCACCCCCCCCCCCGACGCCTCATCACTGCGCTGGCTCCTCCAGGCCCCTTGGACGGGGCTCCCCATGAGCACTTCACTGTATCATGAAGCCAGGCGCTGAGAAGTCGTGTGTGCAGGTGTGTCTGACAAGTCTGACCTTCCTCGGGAAGGTTGCCTGGCCGTGGTGGTCTACCTTGGAGAATGAAGAACTTTTAACCGTCCGTCCCCTCCCTGTTCCTCGTCTGGTTTTTTAGTTCAGAAGTTGGGAGTGAGGTTTTCTAAATGTGCGTGGTTTCTGTTGACCAGAGTTCCACTATTCACTTGGAACACGAGGTCTGTGGGGATGGCCAAGGGGACAGCGGGAAGGGGTCTGGGTCCCCGGTGACCAGGAGCTCCTCCTAGGCTCTGGGCTGGCCTCCTCTCGACGTCGTGCACACGAGTGGAAAAACACTGCGTTGAAGCCACTATTCCTGTCGCCCTCAATCCCAGTCTGAGGCGTCGTCACTGGAGCAGGCGTCTGATGGGATGTGCGAGGAGCCAGAAGCTCCCTGTGCCCTCAACACTCCTCTGACCTCCTACCTTCGATGTCCCCTCCTTGGCTGCCCACAGGCAGTCTCTGTAAGCGCAGGGGCTGGGGAGGGGACACTTGAGGAAGCCACAGACTCTTTAATCCCTGGTTGGACTCCTTTTCCCCATAACAGGTGGGAGAGAGGACAGTGAAAGAGGGGAGGACAAGGGGAAGGAGGGGGGGACAAGTCTGGAGCAGAGGGGCTCTGTCCACCTGACCTGCACTGGTCTACTGACAGGGCTCCTGGGCTGCTGGGGCTGCACGCCGGCGACGGGTCTGCGAGTGGGCGAGAGAGCTCACCCCTTCACGTTCCCGAGAGGTCTGCTCCCCTCCCTCACCCAGGACGTCGCCGCTTACGCCCTGGGGTCCCGCAGTCTGCAGCGGGGTCAGGGCCCACCTTGCTGTCCATGTAGGCTTCGGTCCAGGTGACGTCGTGGTCGTGGCTGATGACCATGGGGCGGCTGAGCACGTGCAGGTACTCCATCACGTTCTCCTGGGCGTCCGCCAGTGTGGAAATCTGCGTGTAGTAGCCTGGAGGGAGGACAGGCCACAGGGTGGTGGCGGGCTGGCTGCTCCCCGTGGAGCCCTCTGCGGGGCTCACACGCTGTCCACACACTGGTCATGGCTGGGCCCCTCCCTGGGAGCTGTTCTGGGCCACGGGGAACTGTTTCCCCCAAGGCTGTCCCTTCTCCAGGGACAGCAGGGGCCAGTGGTACTGATGGGGATTCAAAGGCCCAGCCCCTCCCTCAACGTGGAGAACGGTGAGAGGCCCTCCGGGCTCCAGACCTGCCACAGAGGCAGCAGGGCCTCCATGGCGGGGCCTCGGGGCTGGTGGGTCAGCCTCTCCCTCGCGCATGCTCTCCTCACTTCCTCACAGGGGTACCCCTCCCGCAGGCAGCTCCGTCCAGGGTCTGTTTTCAGGGACCCCAGTCTGTGACAGCTGTCAGCCCCAGCTCCGCCTTCCTCTGACCTGTCCTCCCTCAGTTATGGCGAGGGGTGCCGTGGCCTCTCCACCGTGGCCACAGTGATGCTGAGAAGAGCAAATGGCTTACAAGGCCGCGAGCGATTTAGCACATTAACCTCCCTGGTCTCACTGCTCACCACCGCCCACCAAGCCTTCCCTCGCACGCTGCGGAGCAGCTCCCGTTCCAGCAGGCCTCTTGTCTCAAACCCCTGGGCGTGCTGTTCTCTGTCCGGAACACCCTGCCCTGCTCTCTGCGTCTAACTGACTCCCACCAGCTTTTCACAGGTCAGCTTCAGGAAGCCTTCCCGCCACCTCCAGATGGGGGGGAGCCCCTGCCGTCGCCCCCCGGCTCCCAGCGCAGCCTGTGCCCTCCGCCCTCCCAGGGCCTTCAGTGTGATACCGCCACTGGCATCATCTGTGTTCTCTGCTTGGTCTCCCAGCTGGACAGTAGCAAGAGCAAGACGGTCTGTCCTGACCACAGTTTGGAACGTTCGCCAGGCACACAGTAGGCGCTCAATCGATTTTGGTTGAATCAAACCCAGGTCCAGACCTGGGGCCCAGGTCTTAGGTTCTGGCCAGAGACAGATGAGGACTGTTTGCACACAGAACATTCCTCTAAAGGAAATGATGGCCCTCTACTTCTTGCCTGGGAGTAGAATCATGGTAAATGGGCTTAATTTGCAGCAAGAAGAATGGAGGCTAGATCCAAGAGAGAACTTACATTATAATGTCAGTCCTGCCCCTGCCTTACTCTGTCTATACTGTGGTTTCCATGAGGCTTTATTTGAAGAGACAGCTCTCTCTTCTGCAAACACTGAATAAATGACCTCTAAGTTTCATTTCAGGTGACTGAATGACTTAGAGTCCCTGAAGGAGTAATCATGCATTTACTCCAGGCTTTATGGAGCCATCTGCATTTTGTCTTGTTTCTTCCAAGTGACAAGGAGGGGCAGAGACTGTCACCTCGACTCAGCACAGTTCCTCTGCAAGGTGCCCTGTAGGAACCATCGCCCCGCACCTCCAGGGACAGGGTAATGCTGTCCCACCTGTGCTCAGGTACAGACGCTCTGCTCACGTCACCTACCTTTGTTGTTGCACGCGATCCACTTCATGCGGTCAGCAAAAGTGACTTCTCTCCCAATGAGGTAGGTGAAAACGCGAACCTGATGCACAAGACACAGACGGACTCAGCAGCCGTGACTCCTGGCTGTGGGCAGCGCTGACAGAATGTGCGGAGCCTCCGACGTCTGCCAAGCACTGTGCCGACTTGGGATTCTCCAGTCTCACTCCTTTGGATCAGAAAGGCTCCCGGGGCCCAGGCGGCGCCAGGACTTCCTAGGGCAGTTTTCACATCTCGCCACCATATTCTGGTCTCTTGCCCTGAGCCCTCCTGCTCGAGAGCTCTGTGTCTAGAGTCGCCGTAATTTCGGAACACCAATCTGGGGCGTTTGGATTTACTAATGGGCTAGTGGGCAGACTATTTAAACTCGGGCGGGCCTGGCTTTTCTGGGCCGTGCACCATGGCAGTAGGAGACCACTCCCCGTGCCCACCACCAGGGAGTAACCTTGCGGTCCGGCCAGTTGTACTTCTCAAACACTGGCTGGTAGTCCTCCATGGCCCCATCCGTGATCAGCATGATGGCCTGGTTGCAGAGGCTTCCTTGTCTGGCGTCTTGGAACTGTGCAGGGGAGGGGGGCTCCATGACTGCGAGCCATGACCGCCTCCCCGCACCTCCCGCCTGTCTCCCTCTCTGTCCCTCGGCTTCCCCACTGCAGTACCTGCTTCAGGATCTGGAAGGCTTCCCTCAGGGCTTGGTCCACGACCCCCATACCTTTAACCATCAGCTCGGTCACCAGCTGTTTGAAATGCTAATGTGGGTGAGAAACCAGAGGCGTGTCAATGGATGGAGTGGGCCAGGGAACCTACATCTTTGGTCTTCATTTCAAAGGCTGTTTAGAGCTGTGTGCCCAGAAGGGTATGCTTGGAGAGCCCATCTCTCCACGGCCCAGCTAATTCCATGGCTGGACCCACACACAGATATTTCCGAGATGCTGCCAAGATACACTGAGCGAGTGTGAGTGGCTGGGCGCAGATGGATCCCCACCACTGCAGAGAAACGCCGGTGCAAGTTCACCCAGACAAGGCCCCAGGGCCCCGGTCCCCAGCAGCTTCAGCATCCCAGCTCTTACCCCAGCAGTGAGCATTTCACAGGAGAAACCCTGGAGGCTGCCAGGGCCTCCAACTCAAGGGTGGGATTCAAGAGGAAGCCAAACCCTATTCCTCAGTCACAGAGGGAAGAGTCTGTGACAAGCAAACTCTCCCTTTCAAACAAAGTGGCCCCATCTTTCCCTCCTTGGCCTTTGAAGAGGACGCAGCATGATGGGTTTGATTTTCTCCTTTTGAGGGAGCTCCTCATGAGAACAGACACAATGGAAAGGCCCAGGGGGAGGGGAAGGGGAAAACCAAGTTCTGAATAATCCACAGGGTGAAAGACCAGCCCCGCAGAAGCGAGGTTTTCCTCTGACTGGAGGTCTCCCTGCACACGGTCTGCTGCAATAGGCGGGCAGTGTGTTCACGGGGGCAGTTTCCTGGGGTGTGGTGTGGGTAACTGCGGCCCTGCTTGGCCCCTCGCCAAGTGCCGTGGGAATGAGTAACAGGGGCCCCCAGGCAGCTGCACACATGACGCCACCACTCTAACCAGAACAGGGGCCTGGCAGCACCAGGCACTGGCCTGCGGTGGGCACTCACCTCGCGGTTGTCCCGGTCCGCCTGGACAAGGATCCCTTTGAAACAAGGCTCGACGTAGTGGATGTAGTCACTGTACTGCAGCGCAGAGGGGGGAGGGGAGGGGAGAACAGACAGGGTCCAGGTGGAAGGTCAGAGCCCACTGACTACGCTCAGGCAACTCACAGGGTGGTCCGCCGGGGGTCGCCTGTGTGTATGATCTTGGGGTACACTATGCTTTTGCAATTTTTCTGAGTAGACATGAGAGTACAGAGAACAGAGGCCTTAACTCTAAAAAGTCTCCCTCAAATTCTGGTCGTGGTTCATTTTCTCGGGCGGCCGAGTCCTTGTCCATCTCCTGGGGCACACAGACAACTGCAAGATGCTGAGACAAGTCCTCCAGTGTCTGCCACCAAGAGCAGCCAGAGTGCCTTCCACGGGGGTCCCAGAGCCCTCCAAGTGCAGACCCGCCCCAGTGCCTGGGCTCAGGGACTAGACACGCTCTTTTTGCTCTTCGCCCCGCATTTAGGAAGAGGACCCTTTAGCTGTCAGCTGGCTCTGCAGGAGGAGCAGAAGCACACCCTACTCTTGGGGAGTGGGGGCACCTGTTCCCGTAGCTGTCCTGTCTCTGCTGCAGGCCAGGAACAGGGAGGCAGAGGTGGTGGAGATGGGGAACATGGGGGCCAGGGGTGATGTGGCTGGGTAAGCAATGCAGGCTGCGGGGAGCAGCTCAGAGATGGGGGGGCATTCTCATAACCCCAGGATGACTGATTGCAGTTAGACCATTGTGCCTTGGTATTTCTTTACTAGAGAAGCAAATTCACTAAAGATAAGCATTTTGAGCAACGTGGCAGGCTGGTGGAGGAACGTTGCAGATCAGGTAGCCTTCCAAATGGTACCCTCAGTGGCTGTGAGCTCTGCCCCTGTGGAGGGCTGCCCTGACCCAGCCTTTCATTGAATTTGAAAGCATTCTCCGAACTCGTCCCCTTTTCTCCTGCTATATCTCTGGGGGCAGGCAGAGCTCGCCTCAGGAAGAGTTGCTGTGAAGGCAGAACCAGGATTTGTTGGCCCCTGTCTAGGCGCCCCACCCTACTTTCTCCCGATGTGTCTGAATGTGGGAGGAAGGGAGTGGAGAACTGGGATTCTGGAAAGCAGGAGCCCAGGGATCACATCCACTGGAGAGGTGGCTCGGCCATGGGCGCCAGTCAAGAGCACGTGGGGGGATAAACTAGGCATTTACTCAGGGCCAGTGCTTCCTAATTTATTACAGCCCCGGCTCATCTGAATCAACAAACTCCATGGACTCAGAAAAGTGGACACACATACTTCCAGGAACTCTGTGGACCTCTTGCGGTCCAGCCTTGGTCTGACCCTGGGCTGGGAGCCCCCGAAGAACCCCTCCACAGTACGAAGCATCACGGGGCTGCAGGTCTAGGTCGTCCCTAGAACGAGGCAGAGCCGTTCCGGAGCAGGAAGGCACACTTACCGCGATGATGTTGACAAAGTCGTTCTCGCCCAGCGTGTCCAGGATGGTGGTGATGGTGTGCTTGGCAATCGTCATCCGCAGCCCCTTCATGCTGCCGCTCGTGTCTACCACGATCATGACATCCTTGGGGGAAGTAGCGGCCTGTATGTACCTTGAGCAGACGGAAAGGGATGGGTCAACGATGGGACCATCAACGCGAGGGCAACCGCCCACACTCGTCTCGTTGTTTCTGTTTGGATTCTGGCTCAAGTTTATCCAAAGTTCAGGCAGTTGCCCCGTTGATGCCAGGTTGTATCGTGTTCCAGAGCCACTTAGTATAGCCCTGAAGCCACCTGGGGGGCAACAGCTGGGCATGTGCCCATCACCTGTCAGGTGGAGAAAAGTCAAGTTCTTGTGGCGACTGGGTCTTTTCTGTTCTGGACCAGCTAGGACCTTGGAGGGGTGGGCAGCAGGAGGGACAGAACCGGATTCCACCCTCGGATTCTGTTATGGATCTGCCAGAGGAGGGTTGGAAGAAGGGGAGCCTGGCAGAGGGCTGATCCGAAGGCAGCTCAGTGTCCTGGGCGGAGGTGTGGGACGGGAAAGACACATGTGACCAGTCCCGCAGAGAAGGCAGCCACGCGAGAAGGGTTAAGGTTCACACGCCTGGGACCCTTGGGTTTGGGGGCCGGAACTGGAGAAGAACTAGACAAAATCCAAGGGCTGAAGGAGACAAGCCCACACCAGAGACCTTCCCCTGGGCGCTCTTACCAGCCGCGGTTTCGGCAGTCGAAGGTGATGACTCCGTTCTCGTCAGGCGTCCATTTGATGCCTGGGGAAACAGAGGCTGGGTTTCACCCTCCGGAGGCTGCTCCGGCGCCCCTGGCTGGATGCTGACATCGGGAGTGCCACGACCCCCAGGGCAGGGCCCGCCGTGGACCCGGGCACGGGGTGGGGCCACGAGAGCACCCTGCAAACTGAGGCAACAGGCAAGGAGGGAGGCCAGCTCAGTGGGGGGACACTCACCGCCCAGACCCAGCGTTGGGGTGTATTTCACAATAAGATCCCGACGTGTTGTGCCTGGGCCTCGTTTGTGAGCTAAACCTCACATCAAATTGTGGGAGGGGAGGCTTCCGGAAGGCATGCCTTTGCCCTCATCAGCATCCAGCAACAGCACGGACAGAGCGGGGGAGCCAGGTGCTCTGGCTTCTAGCCCATCTGCCTCATGGTCCTTCCTGTCAGCCGGCTGGGGAATGACTGGCTACAGGACTCCAAGCTCCTGGAGGTCAGCGGTTCCAAGTACAGGCATACCTCGCTTTATTGTCCTTTGCTTCCTGGCACTTCAAAGATGCTGCATTTTTTTTTTTTTTTTTTACAAATTGAAGGCAAGGCCCTTCACCAGGGAAAGGATTAGGGCTTGCTTTATTGGGAAACTCTCTATTGTGGTGGTCTGGACCGAACCTACAATATCTTCAAGGTCTACCTGTACCTGGCAGTGTCTGACATAGCCCCGAGCAGACTTGGTGCTTGATAAATGTCTGTCATGTGAATGAAGGAACAGATGAATGAGTATGGAGGATCCTGCCTTGACCCACTAGCAGAGTGCTGGGGTAGACTTGTCCTATTGATTGAATCCAAAATTTGGTTACCGCACACAAAGCACAGATAACACTAACATGCTCATGACAGAATCTATTTGACAATACTTAATGATCGGAAGAGATTTTTCATCTCTTTCACAATAAAGAGATTAAAAATGACAGGTGCCTTGCCGATGTGGCTCAGTGGCTGAGCGTCAGCCCATGCTCCAAGAGGTCACTGGTTCGATTCCTGGTCAGGGCACATGCTCAGGTTGTGGACTCGATCCCCAGTGGGGGGCACGCAGGAGGCGGCCAATCGATATTTCTATCTCTCTCCCTCCCTCTCTCTAAAATAATAAAGAAAAAATTTAAAAGAAAAAGACAGGTGCAATTGTATTATATTGTGTTTGGGCTAGAAAAAAAATTGTGGCCGTATCATGAATGCCTAGAAGCTCCTGTTCCACAGCAGCTGGACTTCAGAAGAGAGAGACACTTTGAGGCATCGCTGGTCCATCAAAGGGAAGAGAGGTTTTCAGAGGTCATAATCCCCAAACCAAACAAATGGGAGAGAGTCCCAAGGGCGAGGGGCAGGGGCCAGAACAGCAGGATCCGCGGCCTGCCGGGGAGGCAGGACAGACCACGGGGGGAGCCGGGGTGGTGGGAGCCTGCTCAGCGTGGCTCTGGCCCGACCTGCTCTGCTGTGAGCAGTGGGCTTTCCTAAGGCCATGTTCCCGTAGCAGCACGGTTGTGGGGAATTTGACCCTTATAACAGGAACAAGGAGGAGAAAGTCGTCTGAGGTTCTTGGCTCTGAACTAGAACCTCGGGAGAGGGCTTGGGTGGTTCTGGGTGGGGGTACTCTCAACCCCGAGCAGAAACAGGAGTGATCTTCCCGAGGGAAGCTTCCCTAAGTCAGGCCCGCAGGGTTCCCGCAGATACAAGCAGTGCGGCCTCGCAAAGGTGACCGAGCACACTGGAAACAGGCCCGTGAGAGGCCGCAGAAGCAGGAACCACGGGTGTGTCCTCCCAAGAATTACAGGTGCTGGCACTACCAAATACAAAATACAGGATAACTGTGCTGGAGAAAGCACCAGGAAGACGATACAACAAGAAAACGATCAGGAACAAAGAAACAGCCTTGAGAGCATGGAACTTTTGTAAATGAAAGAATGTTTAAGTTGAAAAAAATAAATGCGTGGTGGGTTATTCACAGGTAAAGAGAAAAGTCAGGCATTTGAAGGATTTGTCCAGAATCCTGAGCAGGCTGGAAGGAGAAGGTCTAATATATGTCTGACTGGAGACGGAGACAGGGAAAAGGGAGAGTCAAGGAAACACCATGGCTACAAAGGCGGCGAAGGTTCTAGAAATGGTAAGAAGATAGACCTACAGACATCCACAAGAATAGTGGGAATCCCCAGCAGCATAAATAAAAAGATATTCATCTGTAGGCACGTCCTGGTGAAGAACTCCAAAGGCAAGTCACTAAATAAAGACCTTGGAAGCAGCCAGAAAACTAGCACATTTACTTTCAAAGGAACAGCAGTTAAAGCAATAGCAGATTTTCTCAACATCAGCGGAAGCCAGAAGGCAGTAGAAAAATATTTTAAGGCGTTGTGAGAAAATAATTGTTAATTTAGAAGTGCATTTCCAGCAGAACTATCCCTCAAGAACGAGGACAGAGACTACAGTGTCGTTTTCTGAATTCTACTTGGGGCTTCAGCTCCCCTGAGCGGCTGCGTACTGTACACTGTTCCTCGGGGCTATGTCACTGAATGAGACGTAGTCAGTCGCTTGTCTCCAACAGAAAAGAAATAAGATTTGGTCTTTTCTGCTTAAGTAGGATGACAACAGAAAACAATTTGTGTAACTTGCAAAAATAAAGAAGAATGAATTTAAAAGGAAAAAAATGAGGATGAAATAAAACATCTGTAGAGAAACACAGGCTGGAGCAGTTTTCCATGGGGAGCCCTACTGTGAGGGAACTTCTGCAGGACTCAGCTCGAGGAGGAGGAACCGGATCTTGGAAAGACACTTGAGATGCGTGGCGGAGTGGTGGGCACACCAAGTGGTCAACAAGTAGTTTACACCAAGCAAGTGATGTTTGCCCAAATAGCAGTGATGGGGTCTAGCTTGTGGGGATAAAAAGGGAAATATCAGGATGGATATCAGATGACAACAGAATGAAACCAGGGTGGTAGAAGGAGATGGAAGTGAAGAGTTCTAAAGTCTTTTGTTGACTGGAGAAAGAGTAAAAATGTTATTTGATTTTAATATCTTATTAAATATTCATGGTAAGGGGTAATTATTGAAAGATTAAAAACAGAGGAATAGCCCGGCCAGTGTGCATGGTTGAGCATCGACCCATGCACAAGGAAGTTGCTGGTTTGATTCCCGATCAAGGCATATGCCCAGGTTGTGAGCCCAATCCCCAGTGGGGGGCATGTAGGAGGTGGCCAATCGATGTTCTCACTCTTCGATGTTTCTCTCTCTCTCCTTCTCCCTTCCCTTCTCTCTAAAATCAAAGGGGAAAAATTAAAAAAACAACAACAGAGGAATTAGTTTTAAATTGATAGAAAGAAAAAGAGAGACGTGTATAAGATTTTTCAGAAAAGGTTAATCACTTAAAAAGACAAAAATTGAGAGACAAATAGACATTTTAAAATTTAAATAATTAAAAAAACAAGATAGGCATATTTAAATATGTTAATAGAATAAATGTAAATGTGCTGAACTTGCTAACTAGTAAAAGAGATAGTCAGTTTGGATAACAATGTACAAGCTATAGATTATTTTCAAGAGATAGGACTAAAACAAAATAACACAGAAGATTGGAAGTAAAATGATGGAAAAAGATATGTTAAGATAACCAAGGGCATCTTGGTATTTCTTATGAATATCAGACAAAATAAACTTAAAATACAAACTGTTTTAAGGGCGAACAAAGGTCAAATAGATGTAAAATCAGCAAGATATAGAAAATATAAACAATACAGTGAACAAGCTTCAGCTGATGACACACTCAGGTCTTTCACCACAGTGAGAGCACACACATTCTCAAACACACGAGGGCACTGATGAAACTTGATGCCATACTAAGCTGTTAAACTAAATCTCAACTAATGTCACATAGTCAGTACCACATCCACCATGCTCTCTGTCTACAAGGCAATTTAATTAGAAATGTATAATAAAAAGATAAATAGCCTTGGCCGGTTTGGCTCAGCGGTTAGAGCGTCGGCCTGCGGTCCGGAGAGACCCGGGTTCAGTTCCCGCTAAGGGCACGTACTTCGGTTGCAGTTTGTCCCCGGCCCTGGTTGGTCGTGCGGGTGGCAGCCACTCGATGTGTCCCTTCACGTCAATGTTTCTCTCTCTCTCTCCCTTCCTCTCTCTCCCTCCTGCTCTGTCTGTACAAAAAATGGAAAAATATCCTCGGGTGAGGATAAAAAAATAAAAAATAAAAAAAAATAAAAAGATAAATATAAAATCCCTATCTATTTGGATAATTTAAAATACACTATTAAATAACCAAAAGATCAAAGATGAAACCATAGGAAAATTTTAAAATATTTGGAAATAATGATAATTAGAACACCACCATGGCACCAAAAACACGGCGATAAATTCTGTGTATCAAATGACACGATCAACAGAGTGAAAAGAAAGCTGGGGACTGGGAGAAAGCATGTGCAAGGCATATACCTGTTGAGAGGTTACTATCCACAATCTATAAACAACTGCTACAACTCAACATCAGAGAAACAACAACTTAAAAAATGAGCAAAGATCTTGAGTAGACACTTCTCCTAAGAAGATATACAAATGGCCAAAGAACACATGAAAAGGTGCTCAGCATCACCAGTGACTAAGGCAATGCAAATCAAAGCCATGATGAAATACTCCCTCGCATGCAGTAGGATGGCTGCTGTTGAGGATGTGGAGAAACTGGAACCCTTGGGCACTGTTGGTGGAAATGTAATATGGTGCAGTTGCTATAGAAAACAGTATGGCAGTTGCCCTCAACGTTAGAAACAGAATAACCATATAATCCAGGAATTCCACTTCTCAATAGACACTTAAAATAATTGAAAGCAGGGTCTCAAAGAGGTATTTGTGCATCCATATTCATAGCAGCATTATTCACAATAGCTAAATGTGGAAGCAACCCAAGTGTCCACTGACAGATGAATGAATAAACAAAATGTTGTCTAGCCATACAATGAAAGATTTTTCAGCTTTATAAAGGAGGAACATTCTCACACATGCTACAGTGTAGATGAACCTTGAAAACTACACCAAGTTAAATAAGGCAGTCATAAATAGACAAATACTGCCTGGCCGGTGTGGCTCAGTGGTTGAGCATTGACCCATGCACTAAGAGGTCACCGGTTCAATTCCCAGTTGGGGCACATGCCCAGGTTGTGGGCCAAATGCCCAGTGGAGGGCATGCAGGAGGTGGCCAATACATGTTCTCTCCCCTCAATGTTTCTATCTCTCCCTCTCTCTCTAAAATCAATAAAGAAAAAAAAAAAAGACAAATAGACTCTTCTATGAGGTACCTGGAGCAGCCAAATTCCCAGAGACAGAAGGTAGAATGGTGGGTGCCAGGGGCTGGGGGAGGAGGGAGCGGGGAGTTACTTTTTAAATGGGGACAGAATTTTAGTTTTGCAAGAAGAAAAGAGTTCTGGAGATGGATGGTGGTGATGGTTGCACATGGAATTAATGCCACTGAGTCATACACTTAAAAATAGTTAGAATGATAAATTTTATGTTATATGTACTTTACTATAATTAATAATAAGAAACTCACTACCAATCAAAACTTGTAAGATGGAGTAAAAGTAGAGTTTCTAGGGGCAATGTAGAGCCATAAATGCTTATTTTAGAAACAAAAGCTAAAATTAAAGCTAAGTGTCCAACTATGTAAGTTAGGAGAAGGAACACAGAATAAAAGGGAAGAGAGAAAATACAATTAAAGCTAAAATAGACAAAATAAAAAACAAAGAAATAATACAGAGTTATCAATGAAGACAAAAGATGATTCCTGAAAAGACTAACAAATAGAAAAATCAGTGGTAGATTAATAAAGAAAAAATGAATAATAATATAAATAAAAGGGGGACATAATTATAGATGCAGTGGAGATCTAAAGGATGATAAGAGAATAATAGCTTCATGGAAATAGATTTGAAAACGCATATGAAATTAATGGATTCTTAGAAAAAGCATTTCACCAAATTAAGAAGAAATAGAGCCCTGACCGTTTGCTCAGTGGTTAGAGCATCAGCTGGCGCACCAAAGGATCTCAGGTTTGATTCCCAGTCTAAGGCACACACCTAGGTTGCAGGTTGGATCCCTATCCCAGGTAGGGGTGTGTGCAACCAATTGATGTGTCTGTCTCACATTGATCTGTCCCCGCCCTCCCCTTCTTCTCTCTAAAAAATCAATGGAAAAAATATCCTTGGGTGAGGATTAACCGAAAAAAGGAAGGGAAGAATAGAAAGTCATATTAGTCTTGCAAGTATTAAATAAATTGAAGTGATAATTTAAGAACGTCCCATGAAGAAAACATCAGGCTTATATGGTGTGTTTTTTAAACATTTTTTCTTTATTGATTTTAGAGAGAGAGGAAGGGAGAGGGAGAGAGAGATAGAAACATTTATGAGACAGAACATCGATTGGCTGCCTCCTGCATGCCCCCCACTGGGGATCGGGCCCACAACTTGGGCATGTATCCTGACCGGGAAATGGAACAGGCGACTTCTTGGTGCATGGGTCGACGCTCAACCACTGAGCCACACTGGCCAGGCAGGATTATATGGTTTTATCAATTTCACTGATTTTTCAGAAAAACATCATTCTAATTTATTTACTCCCAGGAACCAGAAAAAGAGGAAATACTTCTCAGTTTATTCAATGAAGCTAGTATAATTTTGAAAAACTGACAAGGAGAGTATACAAAAAAGAAAAATTACAAGACCATTTCTCTTATAAATATAGATGCAAAAAGTCTTAACAGAATATTAGTAAATTAAACGCAACAATGTATAAAAGACTAACTTACTGTAATCAAGTTATGTTTATCATAGGAAGGCAGGGGTGGGTTAACATTAGAAAGTCAATAGGTAATTAGGCAAAAGACATGCTTACAATAAATGGCATAGAAAGAGATGCTCAATTTCCCAAGTGAACAGGGCAACGCCACGCCAGGTCACAGTGAAATACCATCTCATACTAAAAAATCCTAAACAAAAATTTTCAAGTTTACTAATACCCAGGGTTTGAGAAAATGTGGATCAACAGGCTCTACTGTTCATGGTTGATGGGAATGTAACTGGTGCGAGCATGTTGGAAAACAACTTGGCGTTCCCTTGTCACAGTGGAACAGTCACATGCTTAGGACCTGGGAATTCTGCTCCTAGGTACATGCCCAAGATAAACTCTCATTGGAATGTTCATAGCAACATTGTTCAGAAAAGTGAAAAACAAAGAAGAAAAACAAAACTGGACACAACCCAGATAGGATCAGGAGGATGGATAAACGGATGCGTTGACCCCAAAGACTATGATACAGGAACAGAAATATAGCTATATGTGACAGCACAGTGACTCTTGGTCGCATGTAATATTGAATGAAAAGAAGTTCTAAAAATCTATATCAGGAACCAGTTTTATAAATTTCAAAAACAAGTGAAACAAAACAATATATTGTTTAAGCAGGTATGTGTATGTAAATGTAAGATAAAACTAAATAATAAACAAAAAATCCAAATAAAGCAATAAGCTCCTAATTCACAATAGCTATTAGCTGGTCAGTGGGGAGGGATGGGGAGAATCTAGAGGGGGAGAAGGGGAGATAGATGAGGAGCACATACGTAAATAACAAGTATTGGTAGTGTAGTTGTGTTGGTGATGTATATACAGGCATTATCATGTTATAAATAAAACTTAAAATAGATAGCAATGGGCTGCATGGACCCATGGGGATAGTATACTGTGATCAAGAATTATAGCCAACCCCATACAGTCCACCTGAGGGCTGATATGTATCTATAAGTGTGGTTGTGGGTGTGAGAAACACCCTCGCTACTAAGACTGATGGCCAATGCCCGGATCGTGTTGTTGCACACAGATTGACTTCTCTGGAAGCCCTGATGTGGCAAGAATGTTTACAGGAATTCTGCCCTGGAGACTGGAGAGACCTTTGAGTTGTCTTTGAGCATTTGAAGGGCTGTTACAAGGAACAGAAATAAACTTGTTTATCGAAGCTCCAGAGCACAGAACCAAAGGCCAGCTGTGGGTCTGGGCAGACAAACAGGAAGGAGCATGCCCAGGGAGGAGTCCCCCCCCCCCCCCCCCCCCCCTGAGCTCCACCGTTCCTTGTGCTTCTAAATAGGAATTGCTTTTCCAGCCTGGGCACACAGAAGGGTCCTTAAGGACCTTTCTGATCTTCTGTTTCAGGAAAATAGGGCAATGTTAAGAGTTTGGACAGTGTGCTAAAATACGACAATGGGTTGGGATAAAATGTGGAAATAAATTATTTTAAATGGGAAGTAAAAAAAAAAGCAGAACTCTTTCCAATTTTGTGGTATATTTTTTGTTTTCTAGTTTTATTGGTAGACAAGGGAGCTCTCCCCATGCTATCTGTTAGGCTGGCCACTAATCATGGAGTGACCACGGCATCTCTGTGCTGCCGCGAACATGTTGAGTGAGTTTGCCCCATCTCTCTTACGATCAAGAATGGTTTTATCCTCCTTTGCCTCTTCCACAGTGCTTTTCACAGGACAAGAATTCAGTGTGGGCATTTATTGGCTGGCTACCATGGTGTTTAATTAATTAATTAACTCATTCATTCATTCAACAGCTATTTGTGGAGAATGTGCTTACTATGTTGTGAAGAGTGTCAAAGTGCTGGTGGGAGGTGCCTTTGGGTAGCAGGGCCCACCCCGCTTACCTGAGTGCCAGAGTCTCTTCAAGGCCCCAACTGCCTCATTCCCAGAGAAGAAGCCAAAAGGATATTGGAGGTGCCTCCCATGTCCTCACCTGGATAGATCCTAAAGAATCCAGTTGAACTGCCAAAATATTGCCAGGTCAGTGTCGGGTCTCTCTGGAAGTTCTCCACAAAAACAGGGTTCAAGGCTTCAGACATGTAGACTCCATTTAAAATATCTGGATCTAAAGGGCACGATTGTAGTAGGGAGGCTAAGTTAGGAGCAACAGTGACCAATTCTTCATCTGCTGAACACACACGTGTGCACACATGCCAGTGAACACACACACGCATGCACACACAGGCTGCCGTGATGTATTCACAGCTTCCCCCTCCATCTCATGCGGAGAAGCCCACTCACACCCTGAGGCAGGAGCACTGAGCTTTTCTCGCCTCCAGGCTCCCGAGGGGTGATTCTCTGTCTGCAGTCAGGGAGGCTGCAGAACCAGTTTACAGCCTGAAGGGCTTCTCAGGAAAATCAGGGCAAACCGTTAACCTCCACCAGCACCGCCCCAGCAACCGTGCCAGGCCCTGGGGCGGGGCTACCTTTGTTGTACACGTTGGTGGGCAGCTGCACACTGCTGAGGGACGTGTTCACCAGCAGGTTGCTGAAGTGCGCGTTGGGCTCCAGGACAAACTCAGCGCCCAGCTCCACGTACTGGCCGTTCGCATCCCTCTCATTGATCAGGACCGAGTTGTAATAGTCAAACTAGGGCGGAGAGGAGTGGGTGCATCAGAGGACTCGGCTGGGAGAGATGTCAGAGGGGCTGGGTGTCCGCACGAGCTCCATCTGGGGGGCTCCAGGCAATGACCCAGGATTCGGGACGGGCGGTTGATCCACTTGGGTGATAAATGTCTGTGGAAGAGTGGATTGCCACTCTACACCCCCGTCCTAGGTTGTGGTAGCTGTCTCTCCTATCTGGCCCATAAGTCCCTTCTCAAAAGACTCCAGAGCATTTGAGAATCCAGCTATCGGAGGTTCAGACAAAGCCCGAGCACAGTGTAAGGCGGTGCCGGCCGCCCTCCCCCGCGCCACACCCCGTACTCAGGTGCCCTGGCCATTGCTGGGGCGGAGCTGGCCGCCTACCCCCTCAGCAGCAGCCCGGGAGCAGGACTCACCGCCAGAGACTCGTTGAACTTGTGGTTCAGGTCAGCCTCCTCGGCGGCCTCCACCAGGTTCTGAGGGACGGGAACACAAAGGGGGGAATGAATGGCACAAGGGGGCCAGTGGGTTCTCAATTCCACTCCCAAGAATATACCCACAGAAAACTGAAAGGAGGGACTCAGACTACAACTTGTGCGCGGTGCTCACGGCAGCACCGTTCGCAGCAGCCGGAAGGTGGACACGTGTTTCCAAGTGAGAGGGGCCAGTCTGAAAAGGCCACCTAGGGCACGATCCCAGCCACACGGCATTCTGGGAAAGGCGACACTCCGGGCACAGTGGGGAGGCAGGGATGGACAGGGGCTTGTGGGGAGGCAGGGATGGACAGATGTAAAACAGAGGGTTTTTAGGGCAGTGAAACTGTTCTGTATGATCTATGATGGTAGGTACTTGCCATGCATTTGTCAAAACCCGCACAACACTGGGAGTGAGCCCGAAGGTAAACCATGGACTCTGGGTGATAATCATGTATCAGTGCAGGTTTACCGGTTGTAACCAATGTGCCACTCTGGTGAGGGCTGTCGCTAGTTGGGTTTGTATGTTTGTGGGAGCAGAGGATATAGAGGAACTCTCTGTACTTTCTTCACAATTTTGCTATGAACCTAAAACTGCTCTAAAAATAGTCTATTTAAATGTGTGTGTATATATATACATTTTAGTCACATTAAAGAGTGCAATTCAGCGGCATTAGGTACGTTCACAATATTATGCAACTATCACTGTCTAGTTGCTGAACTTTTCATCACCTTCAGATAGAAACCCTGTACCCACGCAGCAGCCACTCACATTCCCCTCTCTCCCTGGCTCCTGGCAACCACTAATCCGCTTTCTGTTAATGGATTTTCCTATTCTGCACATCTCACATAAATGGAATCATACAGTAGGTGACCTTTTGCATCTAGAGTCTTTCACGATGTTTTTAAGGTTCATCCATATTTCAACATGTATCAGAACTTCCTTCCTTTTCATAACTGAATAATATTCCATTTTATAGATATCTTATATTTTGTTTATCCATTCATCAATTGATAGATGTTTGGATTTTTTCCACCTTTCAGCCACCCAATGTAAATATACTCATTATTTTAATTGTCAATTATATGTCAATAAATCTGGGGAGAAAAGAGGAGAAAACCTGAGCTCTTATTCTGGCTTTGTCAAGGACAAGCCAGTAAGCCTGTCCGGGTCTCTACTTATATAACTAAATTGGGTAGAAGAGTCCTTAACTTCCCTGCTCCCAAGCCCCACTGCCTAGGATGTGATGAAGAAATTCCACAGGGCCAAGATTATTTTCTGCTTTGCAGGAAATTTCCCCGTGGGCACTCTCATAGAAGGTCCACGGCTGTGGACCCCACGAAACACCCAGCAGGGATCAGGGACTGGAGTTTGGAGAAGGTCTGCTAAGCAAGTGCTGGTTTGATTGGTTCCCCGAGGCTGAAGCTGCGGGAGGGACACAGTGCAACTGGAGCCGCAGGGAGCTCAGAGCCTGGCCTCTGCGTGAGCCGGCCTGCTGGGCCCTCGCACCAGGAGGAGCGGCCCTGGCAGTGGCGTTCCTGCATCTAGTGTCTGTGCTCCGACCAGGGAGGCGGTTTCCACTGCACTGCAGGCTGAAGGTGGTGGGCGGTCCTGCTGTGCTAGTTGTGAGGGGCTCAGTGTCCCCCTGCTATGGCCAAGGATGGGCTCGTCAGTCCCCAAGTATCTCCTCAGAGGTTACTAATGTTAAGATCCCGAAGCCCTAAGCCTGGAGAAAAGAGGCTGCAAAGTGGGAAAGAAGGCCCCCGCGATTCTACACAGATTCCTCCCCGACGGTCCTTTGATAGAGGTGGTGGGAGACAGGCCGGCAGGCTGGCCAGGCCGCAGCTTCCCTTCCCCGCACTTCCCACTCCGCACTGCTGTGGCCTCCCCTCCAGCCCTTTACTGTCCAGTCCCATCTCCTCTCTCCTGGCTCCCCAAAGGAATTTTGTGGGGGTGGATAACGTTGGTCTTGGATGGCCAGATTTGTGGTTGGGTGGAGCAGGAACTAAGTCTCCAACCATCCAGGTCCCCACAGCATTGAGGTAGGCACTTCATGCCGGGGAAGTGACACGTTCGGTTTCAGCCGGGCCAAGCCGGGCGTGGTGGATGCGCCATGATGGAATCACCTGAGCAGGAAGCCCATCCCTGTAAGCACCTATGCTGTCTGGGCAGCCCTCAGAGCACTTGGCTGCCATGAAGGAAGGGTCCATACAGCAGGAGGGGAGTGGGGAGGTGAGTAGGGGAAGGACAAAAGGGGAGAGGGGAGGGAGCTTTACTTTATATGCTCTCCATTCCTCTATACTGGCACCCATCCTCTACCCACCCACCCTCACATCCATCCATCCATCCATTCATCCATCCATCTATCCATCCACCATCCATCTATCCATCCACCATCCATTCATCCATCCATCCACCATCCATCCATCCATCCATCCATCCAGCCAGCCAGCCAGCAGGTGACTCCTCAGCCCTCATTTTGAACCTGCTCCCACCAGTCGCTGAGCTTAAAGTCATGATGTAGGTAGGGCCCACCTAACACTGCAGGTTGATCCTACTGCATTGGATGCTGTTCTCTGGGCACAGCTCCAATCCCAGCCCTCTCCTCTCTCCCTTGCTTCCCATAATTCTCTTCTTTACAAGAACCTTTTGGCTCATGGGGATAAAAGACAGATGCTCATGAGGTAGAAAAATGATGATGTGGGTGAGAAGATACAGGACCAGGCCATCAGTGAGGGTCATTTTGGTGTGACAGGGGCTGGGACAGAATCCCCCCACAGATCATAGAACCTAGAGCACCTTGACGGCCTCCACTTTCCTGCGTAGCATGGTCTCCATGTCCTCTGAGAACTTCCTCACCAGCTCCAAGCCATCCACCTCCTGGATCCTCAGACCGGGCTCCACATCCTTGTATTTCTGTGAAGGGGAATGTGGGAGAGATGGTCACATGTCATCTGGCACCAGGATGTTTGGCACCTGACTACATGTGGCCTCCATCCTCTCAACTAGTGCACTGACACCCATGAGGCCTTGTTTACTCAACTAGAAGCAAGGACAGGCCCTGTCCTCCTCACACAATCTCCTCACTAACGACCATAGCTGCCTCTCAGAATGTCCTCTCTGTTCCAGGGACTCTGGACACATTCAGTTAATATCCTTAAGAGGGAGCAGACTGGGGCTCAGGGAGGTCAATGAACTTGACCAAGGTCACACAGCCAGGTCTGAGAATTCCACATTCTCTGTGCAGCCGTGCCTGCCAGCTCCCTGGGGCTGCTCCTGTGGACGGTGACACCTTCCTGAGCATCAGCGCATCTTTCCCCCATGCCCCATGGTGCACATCATGTCTAGACCAAGCTCAGCAGTGACAGGTATTGATGCAACCAACAAAATGCCCAGGAGCCCGGGAGAGTGCAGAGAGCTGGGTTCAAATTTACTCTCTGGGGCCGCAGGAGACAATCTTTCCCCGAGTGTGCATATAACCAATGTCCAATGACCCAATCTGGCAACCTATTGACCACGTGACCTTAGGCAAGTTACTCAGTCAGTTCCTCATCTGCAGGATGTGACATTGCATGGCTTTAGAGAATGCTCTAGAATGCACAGACTTAGGGAATGTTTTTACCCAAACCAGCCACGTGATTATTGCTCTGTCTTTCTCACTGGGGTTGGAGGGCCCACATGAGGACTCCGAGGGAATGGTGCTTCGCAGAGCAGGAGTGTGGTGTGAATGGGAAGTGGGACTGAACTGTCACTGTCACAGTGGCCTGTGGGGCCCTGGGCAGGGCGGGCACCCTGGCTCCTCCTTCCTCCTGGGAGCTGTGGGGAAGGGGAGACAGGATGGTGGTCACCTGCAGACATTAAAGCCTGAGAGTTGCTTTTAGCATCATTTACAAAGTGGCAGAGGTCGTAGTCACCTCATGAAGCTGTGGTGAGAGTTAAATCCTGAATATAAGGCTCTTAGCAAATGGTAATAACAGAGAACAGCAAGCTATTATTAAAACTCGTCTGGGAGTTATAAATATCAGAGGAAAATGAGGTTGTTTATAATCTCACAAGAGGACAGCTAGGTGTCAATGTGCACATAAAGCAATTAATCAGTAAGACAAGGGGTTGCTGGTGCCTAGTCCTCTGCATCAGGCCCTGAGTCCCCCCCAGGAGCCAAGCTCCAGCTCAGGCCTCTGCCAGGGCCCACGTGGGCTCTGCCCCGCCCCCGCCCCCGCCGCAGCAGATGGCTGGAGCCCGGGAGCTGGAGCTATGGAAGCTCCCCTGCAGAGGCCGCAGGCCCTTGTCTGCCCCTACTGCCCAAGTGGCTCCCACAGGACTTTTCTCGGGGCTGGCTGAGGCCCCACTGTTCTCTCCTCCGTCTCCCCCAGTCTGCTCCGTTTTGCTCCCTCACCCCTCTATTCTCCTCAGCTCCTCCCCCAACAAATCTGTCTAATTCCGTCTTGACCTCCTCTTCCTGGGGATCTGAGCTGACACCCTTGACCACCCCACTGATCTGCTCTGTGACTTGGGCAAATCATTCCCTTCCCTGGGTCTCAATTCGCCATCTGAAAATGAGGGGATGGAATTAGACGGTCTCTAAGATGCCTCGCAGCGGACTTTCAGAGGTTCTGGGTCTCTGCTCCTCTCCCTGGAAGGGCTCCCTGGCCGATTGCCCTCTGAGCCTCTGAGCTCCCTGGAAGGGGGCTACTGACCTTCTGCAGCAAGAGGGAGCCTGAGTATTTGGTCGCGGTGTCATACAGGTCCCTGCCAAAGGCATCTGCCCACAGCTTCACCCTGCGGGGCCATGAAGGTACATGTGTATATACACACGCACACACACACACACACAGATGCATATACACACACACATGCACATACAAAACAAGTGTCTACACACATAGGCACCCACTGATGCATATGTGCACAAACACAGACACATGATACATAGAGATTCGCACACTAACACTCATAGACACACAGATACATACACATGGACATATGCCCAGAAAGGCACACATGAAGAACTCCTGTCCCTCCTAGTCAGGGCAGGAGACTCTGAGGACCCACCTAGGGGCTCAGCAACTGCACTGAGCATGCTGAATGCCCTTGGGGGGTCTCCCGCTTAGGGGTGAAGGGCAGAGCCTAAAGAGCCAGAACCAAAGCCTGACCTCAGGCACCCAAGGGCTGTGGTTTGTGGGTGAAGAATGGAGACGGGGGGTTGGGGGGCTATAGACAGATCCAGGGCAGGGCAGAACCGCCCCTGAGGATAGGCCCAGGAACTGCCTGGGCACAGCTGTAGCTTCTCAGTGAGTTGTTCCCTCTCCGGGTTCCCTGCTCGAGGTCACTGTGGAAACTCAGAGGGAGCATGAGGCACAGGGCGGAGGAAGAGGCTCTCAGCTGGGCTCTGAGAGGCCACACCTGCCCCCGATGCAGGCAGGCTCGTGGAGAAACCCTGGCCTCTTGTTCGTCCCCAGAGGACATCAAGGTCTCAGCATCTGGACAGGCTGACGGAGTCCTGGGGGTCGGCACAGGCTGGGTTGAGTCTCTCCAGAGGGAGCAAACGGAGTTTGCCCACGCGCTCGTTTCGAGGTGAGTCACTCAACCAGGATCTGCTCAGGCCCGTGTGCCCTGCATCGTGCAGTCCTGGAGCCACACCACAGTCCTCACCTTCGCACAGCCTTCCACTAGAGGGACACCCTTCGTCTACAGACAGCATGGTCCACGTTTGAAGGGACACCAGTGAAGCCCGGGGAGGTGTGGTGGGAGTGGGGAAGGCTTCTTGGGGGAGGTGGGGTCTGAGTTCAGTGTTCGAAGCCTGGGAGCGTTTAGCATGACAAATAGACTTGGAAGAGAATTTTAGGTTTGAGGGTTAGCATTGAGGTTTCCGTTGCAGAGTGAAGTTGGGCGGGTTGTGTGTTGCCCAAGTCTGGAAAGCACCCATTGTTTTGTAGCTTGAAAGACACAAACTGGAATGTGACACCTCGCAGCCTGGTCAGGAAGAGCTGTCCCCATGAATGTGGGAGGCAGGGCAGGGCTGGCAGCTGAAATTCTAAGAGCACATGGGCTCTCTCGAGGAGAGACTGTAGCATGAGAAGACCCGAGTGGACGGCAAACCCGACTGGACGGTGAACACCAACAATCTCGGGGCAGGCTGAGGGAAGAGCCCTTGAGAAGGACAGAGAGGTAGCAGGTGCCCAAGGAGAGCCAGGAAGCACAATGTTAGGAGAGCTGGGGCCTGGGACTCAAGGAAAAGGCAGAGGCCAGTGTCCGAAATAAGAGCCCAAAGAGATCAGTCCAAAGAGAAACGTCGCCTGGATTGGGCAATGAGGGCCTTTGGTGACTCGGGTGGGACAGATGTGGGAGGGCAGTAGAAACCAGGGCAGGTGTTGGAGGGTGAGTGCTGAGCGGGTGGGACGGTGGAGCCACAGGAGAGAGGTGCAGGGTCTTTGGGGTGGGAAAGAGCCTGTGGGAGAGAGGGGTTCAAGGTCCTGGGTGGAGACCCGGCTCCAAGGGAGTGGGCAGGTGCAGAAGCAGGTGTGTTCGGGGCCCGTGACCTCAGTGACTCTGGAGGTTTCTGGGTCGATCATCCACCACTGTGCTCCTCAACCCACACCGGGGTTCCAGCCACCTTGACTTGGCACTCAGCCTGTTCCTGGAGTTTGCCTTCTACTAGTAACTGGCGTGTATGCTGGGCATGGAAGTTATTCTCAACCTCTCCCTCAAGGATAGACCGTTTCACAGGTGGCCGTGGGTGTAACTGACACCCCGGCCAGGCTGACTGAGGTCAAACTCCGGTACTTCCACTGACTGGCTACATGCACTTGGGAAGTTGCCTCCCCTGAAGAATCGGGATGCTGTTACCCACCTCTCTGGACTGCTGTGTGGACTGGATACATCGCTGCATATAACAGTAGAGGTGTAGAGCCAGGTGGGACCATGCTGCTCAAACGTACCCCTCAGCCACACAAACACAGACATGGCGGTTGCTCTGCGCCCCATGCCCACTGCCGTCAGGACCGGAGGTGGACAGCTGCTCCGGTGGCCCGACTCATGCCACGCCTTTGTGGTTGGACTTGGACATGAACTGAGCAGATCACCCCCTTTAGTCTAGAGCGCTCTGCTCCCCACATTATTGAAAATTTCTTGAATAGGAGCACCAGAGCCAAGGACTAACAACAGCTACTCCAGAGGGGCGGCAGAGTCATTTAAACGTATACAAAGTGTAAGTGACTGACACCAGGCCTTCATGGCAGGGTGCAGAATCAGGGCCTGGAGGGAGGCAGAGAGGCAGGGGGAGGGAAGGTGGAGACCACTGATGTCCAATTGGACCTAGTTGCTGAGTGCACGAGCCCTTTGTTCACTTAGAATTGCTTTACCCTTACAGAATGTCAACGTGATTTCCCAGCAAATCCTTGGGGAGCTGCAGTAATCACTTCGCATCAACACAGCGCCCACTCGCAGTCACCTAATGGCAGCGATTATCCCAGAAGGAGCATTGCCTTTCAGGTGCTCCAGGCGCTGCCATCCCCATGGGATGGGCGGGTGAGCACTGATGATCAGCCTCTTCAGACCAGCAGGTGGCTGGGGAGGGCCAGGGGACTCCCAAATGGAAGAGAGGGTGAAGCAAAGGTCTTCACTGCAAGAAAGGGAGCGTGGTCCCCAGGGGAGGTGGGAGGGAGCGCAGAGGTGGGAGGCGCAGAGGACTGAGGTCCGCAAGAGGAAAGGAGGAGGAAAGGGTACAAGGGTTTTGAGGGGTGGGGGCTGAATCGGACGCTTACGTTTCCAGAGGAATCTTGGCCTGCCCCCAGGTGGGGGACAGGGAGGTGCTGGGCAGCAGCAGACACAGGATGGCTGCAATCTTCTGCAGGGAGGGCCACAGGCAGCAGGGCGTCCTACTGCAGGTGAAGCTGGGGTCTGGGAGGAACCTGGGAGGGCCGGGCATGCTGTTCCTGCCGGGGTGAGGGCTGCGGAGAGAGCAGCCTCAGACCTTGGGATCTGTCTGCCTCTTACCCAGGTCCTTGGGATGCCCCCAAGCCTTCTACCTCTTGAGTCCTGGCAAGCCTGGGGTTCACAGCCTTCAGTCTGGTCTCGGCTACAATGCCTAGCAGGAGAAGGGGCTTCTATGTCCCGCAGAGAACAGCGACAGAGGAGGCCCCTTACCTGACTAGCAGGCTTCCAGGAGAGAGGCTGACTGTGGCAGGGAGGCCATCACAAATGAACCCCTTAATCCATTGGCCTCCCTTCTAATCCCCCGGCTGACAGGGGGGAGGGGGGTCGGCAGGAGTGGCCTCAGCAGGATTATGCTGGTTTTAGAAGACAGGGCTTGCCGGTCCGTTGGGGGTCAGAGCATACTCTCTTGCTTTAAAGAGGCAGCCTTTCTGGACCCAAAGGGAGGAGGACCTTGGCCCAGGACAACAGCTGACGTTTGCCCAGAGCTCCAATTTACCAAAGGCTGTAACAAATCCCCTCTTTAAAACTCAGAGTGACCCTGGCAGGTCAGTGCCATCCAGGGGCTCTTGAGGGGCTTGGGGACAGCGTTGAGAGTCTAACTCTGGCTCATGTCTCCAGGTCTGCTGCCTGTGGCCCCACAGCCATGGCACCTGCTCCCGGGTCCCGTCTCGAGGCACATTTGCCAGGAGGCCGATAAGCTCCAGGCTCCCTCCCTGCACAGCAACATGCTCCTAGTACATGCAAAGGAAGGCTGACCACTGGTTAAGACCTCTGTCTCTTCGCATTCCAGCTCTCCTCTGTCTAACTCCCCTCAGCTGGGAATGCTTAGTGGCTGTGCACATTTTGAGGATCCAACTAAGAGGAAGATGAGTTGGGGGAGAATTTAATTTGGACTTAGTGGGATATATTTATGTAGCTCATAGTTATTCCTTGTACAGACACGTTATCTCCAGCCATCCTGAGGTAGGAACACTCTTATCCCCCAGAGAGCTGACTAGCCTTGCATCAGGACACTCAGGGCAGCAGGAGTTCATCACGGTGTGCACGTCCTGCAGCGCCCCCTACTGGAAGTATGTGGGAGAGGAGGAAAATGAACGTTTGAAACACTCTGAGCCAGAAGCTGGTCTGGAAGAGCCTTCCAAAGATCAAACAAACAAAATTGCCTGGCCCTGGCCAGGTAGCTCAGTTGGTTAGAGCATCCTCCTGATATGCCAAGGTTGCGGGTTTGATTCCTGGTCAGGGCATGTACAAGAATCAACCAATGGAATAAATAAATGGAGCAACAAATTGATGTTTATCTCTCTCTCTCTAAAACAGCGGTTCTCAACCTGTGGGTCTCGACCCCTTTGGGGGTCGAATGACCCTTTCACAGGGGTCACCTAAGACCATCAGAAAACACATATATCGATGGTTTTAGGAACCGAGACACTGCTCCTCTATCCGTCTCCAGGCGGGTCCGCCCACATGCAGATACTCCCACATACAGATACACCCACATAGGAGTACCCAGCATGATGACATTATCACTCCAACCCCATCACATACATCCTGTACAGATACAGGTGTATGTGATAGGGTTGGTGCCATAATGTACTTATGCGGACCAGTCACACATGTGTAGAGAGCAGTTACTGTATAGAAAGTAGCTACTCTGTTAAAAGCAGCTACTGTGTTGAAAGCAGCAGTATTTCAGGTAAAATGACACTTCATGAATTATAATTACTGGGTAAATGTAAAATCATGTACTGTAAAATTATCAACTACTGCAAAAATTATCTGTACCATGGGAACTTAATCTGGATGCTGAGTGATCTTTCTATATTCAGCTGTGGTTGATGTGAATACTACTCCCTTGTGATAGTAACAGGTATGTAAAAAAACAAACACAGAGAATGGTAAATCATAGGAAACTTTAATGAACTGTATTGACTAAACTATGCTATGCATCATCTTTTGTATTATTAAAGCTATTGTTATATATTATTTTCATTAGCAAACCATCCCATGACAATGGATCATGTAGAGAAGAATGCTTAAAAAAGAAAATATAGTGAGGATTTTTTACAGTATGGTTTTACCTCAATAATTACAGCAGAAATTGAGAAAGCGCAATGTGTTATTTGTTGTGAAGTTCTATCAGCCGAATCTATGAAGCCGAACAAACTAAAACTCCATTTTGATAGCAAGCATCAGAGCTTTGCTGGCAAGGATACCAACTATTTTAGAAGCAAAGCTGATGAACTCAATAAAGCCAGACTTGACACTGGTGATAAGTACCACAAACAAAATATAGCAGCCACTGAAGCTTCATATTTGGTGGCACTCAGAATCGCCAGAGCTATGAAACCTCACACCATTGCTGAGGATTTACTTCTGCCAGTGGCCAAAGACGTTGTTTGAGTTATGATTAGAGACAAATTTGTTATGAAATTGAGTGCAATTTCCTTATCTAACGACACTGTCTGCAGAAAAATAGATGACATGTCTGCAGATATTCTTAATCAGGTAATCCAGGAAATTAAATCTGCTCTACTTCCAATATTTAGCATCCAGCTTGATGAATCTACAGACATTGCAAACTGTTCACAGTTACTGGTTTGCGTGAGGTATATTAATGATGGTGACTTTAAAATGTATTTCTTTTTTGCAAACCTCTTGAAATGACAATTACTGTACGTGATGTATTTGATCACATTGGTTCATTTCTGAAAGAGCATAAGATCTCTTGGGAAAAGGTTTATGGTGTTTGCACAGATGGTTCTCCAGCTATGCTAGAGTGTCAATCTGGATTTCAACATTTTGTACTGAATGAGTCACCAAAAGTCGTTGGAACTCAGTGTATGAGTTGTCATCAAATATTAGCAACAAAGATGCTGCCACAAGAGTTACAAGAAGTAATGAAAAGCCATAAGTTCTGTCAATTTTGTAAAGGCAAGCACTTTATTTATTTATTTATTTATTTTATTTATTTATTTTTTAATCCTCACCTGAGGACATTTTTCAATATTTTGTTCAGATAGAGTGGGGGGCGGGGAGAGAGAGAGAGAGAGAAACATCGACGTGAAAGGGACACATCTAGTGGCTGCCACCCAGACTACCCAATCAAGTCAGGGCCGGGGACAAACCGCAACCGAGGTACGTGCCCTTAGCGGGAACCGAACCCGGGTCTCACTAGACCGTAGGCCAATGCTCTAACCGCTGAGCCAAACCGGCTAGGGCAAGGCAAGCACTTTAAACAGTCGACTGTTTTTGCAACTGTGCGATGAGTTGGATATGCCGAACAATGCTCTGCTATTTCACACTGAAGTGAGATGGTTGTCGACAGGAAAAGTTTTAAATGTGTTTTTGGGCTTCGTGATAAACTCAAAACATTTTTTAATCAGAAAGCAAGACCGTAGTATGAAGAACTTTTCAGCAATAAAAGTGAACTGCAGAAAATAGTTTACTTGGTTGACATCTTTGCCATCTTGAATGAGTTAAATTTATCACTGCAAGGACCAAATGCAACATGCCTCGATTTGTCTGAAAAGATCCGATCATTCCAAATGAAACTTCAGCTTTGGCACAAAAAAAAAAAAAAAATTGGATGAAAATAAAATTTACTTGTTGCCTACCTTACCTGCTTTCTTTGAGGAACATGACATTGAACCAGACAAAAGGATTACGATGATAATTTCTGTGAAAGAACACTTGCACATGCTTGCAGACGAAATTTCATCATACTTTCCAAATCTACCTGACACCCCATTTGCACTTGCCAGAAGCCCATTCACAGTCAAAGTTGAAGATGTTCTTGAGACAGCACAAGAGGAGTTCATTGAACTTATTAACAGCGATGCAGCGAGAACTGATTTCTCTACAATGCCAGTTACAAAATTCTGGATCAAGTGTTTGCAGTCATATCCTCTTCTGTCTGAGACTGTGTTGTGCCTTCTTTTTCCATTTCCAACAACATATCTTTGTGAAACAGGGTTTTCCAGCTTGCTGGTTATCAAGTCTAAATACAGAAGTAGACTTGTTGTGGAAGATGATCCTCATTGTGCTCTTGCAAAGACTGCCCCGAGAATTTTTGACCTGGTGAGAAAGAAGCAATCTCAACCTTCGCACTGACGTTGGCTTTTTATGCATACTGCCGCAAAATGTAGCAATGTGGTTTACTGTTTTTATATTAAGACTGTTACCCATGCTACACCATGCTTCAAGACAAAATTTCATTTATTTGTAATTAGAAATAAATATTTCACAATATATAATTACCTATTGTTTTTGTGATTAATCACTATGCTTTAATTCTGTTCAGTTTGTAACAATGAAAATACATCCTGCATATCAGATATCTACATTATGATTCGTAACAGTAGCAAACTTACAGTTATGAAGTAGCAACGAGAATAATTTTATGGTTGGGGGTCACCACAACATGAGGAACTGTATTAAAGGGTCATAGCATTAGGAAGGTTGAGAACCACTGCTCTAAAATCTATAAACTAAAAAAAAGAAAATGTATAAAATTGCCAGCAGAGGGTTCGGTTCTCATCAAGGTCTGGCCAAAACAGTTCTCTCCTGTGAGGAAAGCAGCTGGTAGTGAATGTGTGTGATTATGAACATGCCATACATTGTCTTCTCCTCCCGTGGGAATTGCACAAAATGGAATTGGATAAAAATTATTATGTCCCAGTTGTTAATAGTACCACATGAGCACTCTGTGTGATGTCATAGTTGACTATCATAGCTTCATAATCTATTGGATGCATTGCGTCCTGACAAAATCTGCTGGTTCCAGCAAAATAGCACACGGAGTGGCCACCAACGCAGAGAGGTGTCTGAAGAAGCGAGCGTTCCAGGGACAGAACTCCTACACAGTCATCGGGAAGTCAGTGTAGCACGAGTCATCTGGTTCCGCGGCTCTGGGGCTCAACGGGGTGCGGCTGCAGCTTTAAGTGGATTTGAATTCTTCCTAGGAGTGCCTTCGTCTCAGATGGGCTTTGCCCAGTTCTCAGGATTACAAATCACACCCCATTCAGAAAGAGTACTGCAGAGGTGGGCAATTCATGGGTAAAAAGAATATGTAATTTTTCTAGGTTTTGTGATTGTTTGGTATTTATCAACATCTTAAAATTTGTATTTTGGAGTGATTTTTTTTCCATTCTAAAAAATATTCACTTTTACTAATTTTTCTTGTGTTTGTAACTTGTACTCCTTTTCTTTTATAGATGACCCCTTCCAAATAACGTAAGCTCGCGACCCGCAGA